AGTGTCGAAACAGTTGCCGCGAATTTGAATAATATTTTTTAGAGCTCGAGACTCAAATCAAGTAAATTGCGTTTGGGGCATTCCAGCATGCATTTGGATCGTATCGAATTCGAATCGAACATGAATTTAATAACATGACTTCAGTTTCCTATCATTTATATTTTCTAACTAACACCAACACCTGCACCCCTGTAGAAACCTATGTGAAAGTTCTCTTTAATAATCGTTTGCTATATTTGGCTTAGGTTTTGGCCACCATTGTGGTTATTAGCATATCGACGCCCATTTTCTTGGCCGTCATTGTGCCCATTGCGTTTATCTACTATTTCGCGCAACGTTTCTATGTGGCCACATCGCGTCAGCTGATGCGCTTGGAGTCCGTTTCCCGTTCGCCGATCTATTCGCATTTTGGTGAGACTGTGACTGGAGTTTCAACGATACGCGCTTACACAGTCGAGGAGCGGTAAGAAAGAAAAGGAAAACCCGAATTATAATCTCAAGTGGACTTATTAATTATCCCATCAACAGCTTCATTGAGGAATCGGACAGTAAGGTGGACAAGAATCAAGTGTGCAAATATCCATCTCTGATTGCCAATCGTTGGCTTGCGGTTCGCCTGGAGATGGTCGGAAATTTGATTATCCTCTTCGCCTCGTTGTTTGCCGTGCTGGGTGGTCAAACGAATCCCGGTCTGGTTGGCCTGTCGGTCAGCTATGCGCTGCAGGTGACGCAAACATTGAACTGGCTGGTTCGCATGTCCTCGGACATTGAGACGAACATCGTGTCCGTGGAACGCATCAAGGAGTATGGAGAAACCAAACAGGAAGCCGCATGGGAGCTCGAATCGGACAAACAGCATCCCAAGAACTGGCCAGAGGGCGGACGTGTCGAATTCAAAGATTTTCAGGTGCGCTATCGCGAAGGTCTGGATCTGGTGTTACGCGGCGTTACCTTTAACATAACTGGCGGCGAGAAGGTGGGAATCGTGGGCCGAACGGGTGCTGGTAAATCCAGTTTGACTCTGGCTTTGTTCCGGTAAGACATTGTTTTGTTAATCTAAAACGAATGTAATTTACAAACATTCCTTTTCTTTACAGAATTATCGAAGCAGCTGGCGGTAAAATCATGATCGATGGCATTGACATTGCCACGATGGGTCTGCACATGCTGCGATCTCGTCTAACGATCATACCGCAGGATCCGGTTCTTTTCTCGGGCTCGCTGCGTTCGAATCTCGATCCGTTTGAGGTCAAGACCGACGATGAGATTTGGAAGGCATTGGAGTTGTCGCATTTGAAGGCCTTTGCCAAGAGCCTGACAGCCGGTCTCAATCACGAAATTAGCGAAGGTGGCGAAAATTTGTCTGTGGGCCAACGTCAATTGGTGTGCTTAGCACGTGCCTTGCTGCGTAAGACAAAGGTGCTCGTTTTGGATGAGGCCACAGCAGCTGTGGATCTGGAAACGGATGATCTTATTCAGGTATGTTCGACTTGGCACTGTAAATTAACATGGCATGCTGTTAACTTTTGCCATGAACTTTTAATTTACACAGCTGAACAAAAAATGCTAACTGACAGAGCTGTACCTTAACATTTCATATATATGTTAGTTTTTCACTATGTTATCTTACATGCTGGAGTTAGTTTAAAATTGTATGCACATTTAACATTGGTTTGTTTTCGATATTTTGCAGAAAACCATTCGCAGCGAGTTCAAGGAATGTACCGTGCTAACTATTGCCCATCGCCTGAATACCATTATGGACTCCGATAAGGTGATTGTGCTGGACAAGGGACAAATAACGGAGTTCGCTTCGCCCACTGAACTGTTGGGCGATCCAAAATCAGCCTTCTATAGCATGGCCAAGGATGCAAATCTTGTTTAGTTTTGTAACGATATAAAAACACCAACCGAAACTCATATAAAATATGTGCCCAAAAAAACAAAATATTTAAAACAAAACAAAAAAGGAAGGAAGGAACATAAGGATTTAGAACTAGTTAGGCAGCAATTTAACAATAGCTTTTAACTAATATGGAAACACTGGTAACTAGCTACTTAAACCGTTAAAGGTGTTCTACCTCAATAATCACAACAATAACAACTATAGCAACAACAAGAACAACTGTAATGCGCGTGTGCCTGCAATTTAGTAAATACCATGAAATGTTCATTAGCTTAAGTCGAAAAGTTGACAGGATTTCATTTTATCGGTACATTTCATTTAAAATGTACCTCTATTTGTTTATATACATATATGTATGAAATTATATATATGTACGTCTTTGTATGGTACTTACCTAGGTTCGTTTTATGCGTGTGTATATATGTAATTGCAACTATCTTAATGGATTTATTTTTCTATGCCAGTTTACAAGTTACAAAAATAGAAAAAACTACCGAAAACCTCGTCCATTTGGCAATTGAATAAATCACGTACTTAAGATATATGTACATGTATATGAAAGAAAAAAGTCTCTTAAGAATTTGCCTCTGAATGATTAAATCACTTAGGCAATGCCCAATAGTTAATTAAAATTTTGCATCAATTTTGTAAGATCTGTATACTTAAAATGTGTACTTAAAAATCAATTGAAATTGTATTCTTAAGGATAAATAAATCCCATCTACCTAATCTACAGTTTACTTAACATGAATATAAACAAACGTAACTATACTTAACTTGAATATTGTACAAAGCTCTTGATCATGAAGTACAATAAAGAATAACTAATATTTGTAATTCACAAATTTTAATTATATTCTATTATTTGGCCTAAATTGCAATTTAGAAATTCAAAATCCTAACGATATTATCTCACTACAGGATTACAACACGATTGCTGTTACAAGCCGAACTAGAGGCACTTATCGAACTAGTTCATTGGATTTGATGCATGTGGAAGCGTATTTTAAATCGTTTGAAGAAAAATCTAATTCAACTAAAATTATGTTCCTTTTTTATTGAAAATGCTATAGCAAGTTTTTTGAATATATGAAAATAATTTAGTGTAGGTTGTTAATCTAAAATTATTAACATTGCGCGCGGCGTGCGGCCGCAAAGATCATAGATGTTAGTTGAGCAGCAGCTGGGCAACAATATTGTTATCGTCCGCTGTATTGGAGGCATGCATGCCAGATCCACTTTCGAGGAATTCGCGCAACTCGTTCTCCAGATCACCAGCGCCAGCGTGCACATCAGGCTCTTCAATGTCCATAGACTGAATTTGAGGTAGCGCCACGGGCTGCTGCAGAAGCTCCGGAAGTTGAACGCGCGGCGAGGCAGTCGGAGGAGGAGGCAAACCAGCTGTAAGGTAAAAAATAAAGATAGGATAAGTACTGAAACTCCGATATATTTGAAGAGTCGCATACATACCGAAAGACATTCCCATTGCTTTGCGTAACGCATATTGATCAGCTATGGCGGCCGGTGGCAGCTTTTTGGCCAACTCGCTGATCTGCTGCGTCAGCTGCTGAGCCGTTTGCACCTCTTCTTGTCCAGCGGGAGGCACCAGAGCTAGATGCGCAGGCAAGGGCTGTGACAGCCGCTCGTGCTGTATGACCCGCAGCTTCTCAATCAGAGTTAAATTATTGCTTAGATGTTCTTTCATGCGTTTCGATAGCTCGAAGTTCTTCATATCCGCTTCCATGGCATCGAGGAATTCCACGTCAATGCCTAGGTCCTTAAGCGAGCGCAAACATTTGAAATCCAATCGGATATTTTTGTACTTCTCATACTCTTGCTCAATTTTCTCAGCCTCAGCGCTGTTGCTGGGCTGCTCCTGTGCTCTGTTGAAACATTTCTCAATCTCTCGCTGCTCATATTTTTGCAGCTGCATGTTGTACAGCTCATCCAGAGATTTGCTATGCTCTCCATTGGTGAGTATATCGAGCAACCCGTTAGCTATATTCGTAGCGTAGCTGGAATCCTTTGTGAATTGCAATATACTTTCAGCATACTCGGCACTCGATGCATCGCCATAGGTGCGCAGCACCAGTTGCGTTTCTTCAGCACTTAACGTGGAAAACCTCGAATCGAAAGTGGGTGCAAAACTGGCAAAAGGTCCATAGTTCATGGGCTTCACAGGCTTTACGACATTTCGCTGATCTGTGTGCAGACCAGGCAGCTGTCCACTGCCCGCGGGCAGCTTACCCACCAAATCTCCAATGGTGACCACCTTTTCTGGTCCTTCATTTTCATCTCGAATAAGTAAATTCAGTGTAGTGGTTCCATCCTTGTGCTGTCGTAGGAAACCCATTTTATGAGCACGCTGCTTGGAGCTGACACGCTGCTTGGCCTGCTGTGCTGCTCTTTGTACCTGGGCCAGTATCTCCTCGCTGGTTAAGTCATCCACGTAGGGTTCAAAATGGGTTTTTGGTGCATTCTCTAAACGTAAAGCTCTCTTCCGTTCCTCCTCCTCTAGTTGAGCTGGCGTGGGCTCTTCTGCACCAGTTGAAGCGCCCTCATCCGCCGAATCGTGTGCCATATCATAGCCAGCTAGCTCGTTGGAGCTCAATTCAAAGCCCAACTCTTTGGCGGTCAATTCACGTATGTAGCCAGAAAGAGGTTTCAATGTGCGCATCAAATTATCCGGTTGCAAATGCTTTAAACCCAATTGAAGCAAGCGCTTAGCTGCTTTATGGTAAACGGTGTCCACATGATTGTACTTGATTGCATTCTCACACATTAAACGGAAATCATCGGTGAATTCACTTAACGCCGCATACTCATGATCCTCTATCTTTTGCCGCATTGTTGAAAAGTCCATGGGTTTGTGTATGATCGATGAGTAGCCTGGCGCAATGTCATCCGTAACGGGCCATGCAAAGAACTGGTGCGGATCTCGTTTCTCCAGAAAGCGTAGCAAGTGCTCCAGTAGCTTGTTCAATGGCGATTTCTGTTGCTTGAGTTTGAGCACACAAGTTCTTGGTTCTCTGCCTGACTCACTGCTGCTACTGGGAGTTTTAGGCGCCTCCAGTGCTTTGGGTGTTAGGGCATTCAATGAGCAAGCCGTGGAGCCGGACGGTGATGGTATTAACAGCTGCATGGAAAAAAGAAATTCATCAGTATACGATTAAAACTTGAATGATATTTGCCTTACGTCAGGCAGGGGCTTAGTTGGACTGGACGAACATGTGGGTGAACTGAGCAGCATTTCGTCAAATTTACGCGCTGTTATGGGCTTGGTGACTGGGCAATTGGATGGCGAATTGTCGGTGGTAATGCCTGCATAATATAAAATATTTTCTGGCAGCGGTTGTGATTGCTCCTCCTCCGCATCGTCGTCCATAAAGCTGAAGCCATCCTGTGAGCAATCGCCAACACCTGTCGGCGCCGTCGCCAACGCCATTTGGCGACCACTGCAGCCTGCTTCATCTGGGCCAATGGCATCGTCCATTTGTCGCTCGTCATCAGAGCACAATTCGCGATGTCTTTCGCGACGCTTCTCTTTGTGGTGATGCTTGTGCTTCTTCTCGCGATCCTTCTTTTTCTTTTTCTTTTTTGATTTCTTATGTCGTTCACGATGGCCCACCTCCTCGGAAATTGCGATTAGTGGGCTTCCAGGAGCAGCAGCCATCATTGCCTCCGCCGCAGTTGGAGGTCCGCCATGGCCATCAAGTGGGGAGTTAGCTTTGTACTCGGGCGTTGCATTGGAGCCGACCTTCAATATCAGCTTCAGACCACGTTGCAGCTGTGCCGGATCCTGATGCTGGCTATATTCTAAAATAAAATGTGTTACTTTCACAAACACGCGCTACAAACATTTAGTTCTGACTTTTACCTTCATACTTCTCGCGTCGTTCCGATTTGTTCTTTTTGTGCTTTTTTGATGAGCCCATATTTGATGCAGGCCTCTCTTTTTTTATGCAAAACAAAATGTAAATCTACCCAAATAAATGAAAAAACAAAATTTTTGGCTGTTGTAGGCGAGACAGACGCCATGATTTAGTGATGTCAAAACCGAGCATCGATAGTTGCAACACAATATATCGATAGACTAATACTCATATTGTGGCGACGAGGGCTGCTAATTTCGCGCTGATTTAAATTTCAGGTGAAACAAGCCATCGTTTAGAAATAAAAAACCATTAGTCGATGGCTGCAACGCACAAATATCGATAAGACTATATCGTCGTGCACGCAATTTAGTTACGAGGGCTGCCATCATTTTGCCCGCTAACTTCAAGTTGCGTGTTGCTTCGAATATTAATTACGTTTATATTGCTAGACCTTAGTTTTGATTCCGAACTGATTGTCACTGGAAACCGATTGGCTGTTGTGTACCTTGGCAGTGAAAATGAATATTTAGAGATCTAAACGCGACTGCGCCGCTTCACTGTAGCCGCATGCTGACGCTTCGTGGTTATATTATTTAGTTTAGCTGCAACGGATCTGTTTTTGGTTACGCCTGATCGAGTTGAGCCGGGACCGTCAAAATTAACATCCGGCATATTCTTTTTGTTTTTACTGATTCCCGTATACAGAGTTCGTGTCGAGTTTAGCGCTTGCAACGATGTATCCAGCTTGTTTTTAATCCGATCGAGATCCTGTCGCATTCGCTGTATATCCAGCGCAATTGTTTGCCTGTCGCGCTGCAATCTCTTGTGCTGTAACAACATATTCTCTAGCACAGTTTTTTGCAGCAACACCTCACGAATGCGGCGCTGATTGGTAAAGCTTTTCGGACCAAGTTCCGTATAGCCACGCCTCATCACCTGCTGCGTCTGTCGATTCAGTCGAGCCTTCACCTGCGACAAGGGCAGCTTCGTTTTCGCTGCCGGCATCGGGCTAATACCGCCGCCTCGGATACGACGAATTTTCTTGGATGTGGATGTCGCTAGCTTGGTTACACTAGGAGGCGGGGGTATCTCCGCTATAGCAGCAGGAATAGAGGGCACGGCCTTGCGTGGCGGAGTGGTAGCTAGCAGGCGTACATTGCCAATTAATACAAATATGCAATTCATTGCTGTCTCACTCACTTTTCATATGCCTGTGTATGTTGGCCATCATTGAGTCCACACGAGACTTGACATCCGCTTTGTCGGGGAAGTAGCGATCGACGGTATTATCCTGACCCATTCGCAGTCCGTGACTCCCCTTCGTGTATATATCATTCATGTTATAGCCCCTCGGTTCCGCATGCATTTGATTCCTCAGTATGGCATCTAAATTCAGTCGCATTGTCATCTTGCTGTCTTAGCTGCTGCGAATTTGGATCTGATTAAAAAAATTGCAAATTTGGGGGTTACTAATTTAAAGAGCCGAAATTTGGCGAAATATACGACCAAAAAATAGGTTTTGCTTTACTTCAATTTTGAATTTATTTACGGAATTAATATTCTGACAGAAGGGCCTATTTTTTTCCCCAAATGAACATCTTACAGTTTCAAAATGTTAAGGCTGAGTAATGAAAGGAGTCTAAAACATTCCGACATTTGTAATTCAAAAAAAAAGGTAAATAATCGAGTTACAGGGTTTTCCGAACTTTCAGGTCGGACACCCTCACCTATTTATCTAATTCTTACTGTACTCTCTCTCTCTCTCTCTCTCTCTCTCTCTCTCTTCCTCTCTCTTTTCTCAATGGTTCATGGAACACTTCAACGTATATTTATTTGAAGTTATGCTCTAGCTATGGCTACCAAGTGAAAGTAAACTTTTGTGTTCCCTAGGCACCGCATTATTTGCGTGGGGCGTGGTTCAAGTGCAGCATCCGCTCCCACGATCTATACATATGTACATATGTATGTATATGTCTTCTGTGGTATTATGCAACTTGTTTGGCATTGTCAATACGCACTGTTGGTTATTTATTATTGTTATTTTTGCCCCTTTTATTTGCCGTTATTGGTTTTATGACTGCGTTTTTTAACAGCTCTGAACACATTGGCTTTTAAAAACTCGTTTTTTGCTGCTTCTTTACTTACGTGAAATGTGAAATGGTAAAAATGAATTGTATTTTTTAATTGCTGACAATGCATTAACTGTGCCATTAGTGGGAGATGTATTACAGACATAGAGTGCAGTGGTAAAGGGCAAGTCTTTTAGGAATATGTCAAAACTTAACAATGAATGCATGATAATCATATTTACTAAGAATAATATTGTTAATGATAATCACGACAATGATAACATAAATAGCAATGATAATGATAGATGATGATGAATGATAATGAAAATTAACAATAACAGTCGATAATAATAATGGCACAATGATAATGCTGACAGCAATAATCAAGATAGTGTTAATAAAAACGATGATGAGCAATAATAACAATGTTAATATGGATGCAAATAATAATGGCTAATGACACTATCTAATATTTGTATACAGGTTTCTCTAGGGTTCCATACTTTATAACTTTCTATCTATATAACAAGTTGTCTTTCATGAGTGCTATAAGAAAATACGCATATGTTAATATGTAACCCCAACTATACACAATTGAGACACTCATCTGAGGTCTGAAATTCGCTAATACAATACATTGAAGAGTAGCTGTTATTGTACGATATTCTAATGAAACATTTTTGCGGCACATTGTCAACTAGATGCTAAAAGTACTTGAAGTAGGAAGTATTTACTAAAAATATGCGAGATATATAAGATGACCAATATTAGCGAGTTCATTGGACGAAATGAAGTGAGTCGTGAATGGAATGGGGCTGAGATGTTTGGAATACCATTTGCTGTAAGCGTTTGCGGGAGACAAGAAAACGCTTTTGTTTCCAGTTCATAAACAAGAGTGCAAATTGTTTCAAGCAGATGGACGAGACGAGACGTGGGCGGAGGTAGACACCATGGTAGGGCCTATAGCTAATGCAAGTGAAACCGAAAAAGTCGCACCTACAATGATTGTGTGGCCAAAGAGTCGACGTCGTGTGACCCGCGACGTGTTTAGTTGTATTTTGTCGCGCGCTAACTCAGGTGCCTCGCTAATTGGTCTCGCAAAATGTGGCGCAAGGATATGCCAGGACTTACCCGTATATATAGTGTATATATACTGGCATTCATACTTCAGTTAATCTCAAGTGGTTGCGCTCTAGTACACGACGAGCTGCCGCAATGCACGCTTCAGGGCGTCTATAGAGAGCGCCAGAGTTTGATCGAATCACCAAATTATCCGGACACTTATCCGTTCAACAGCTGCGTCGATTACGTTATCCGTTCGCCCTATCGCTGTCCGACCAAATTTCACGTGCAATTCCTTGACTTTCAACTGGAGCTGTCGGAGAATTGCAGTCGGGATTATTTGGCTGTTGGCCTGCAGCAGGATGAACGCGATATGGACGTGCTCTGCGGCCAGGTGCGAGGCATTAAAAAGTATCAGACACCGGACGGAATACTGCGTTTGAGATTTTTAAGTGACGACTCACCATGGACTACGGGCGGTGGCTTTCGTCTGTTGGTGACGCGCTTGGCCTGCGAGCGCGAGGAAGTGACGGCACGTGGCTTGGATGCGGACAACGGCGAGGATGATGACACGGTGCAGGTAACTGCTCAGCTGCCAGGCAGGAAACATCACCCACATCAAGGTGTGCCACATCGCAATTTCACTCTGCCGGCTGCTTATCCGGCTTTGCCGCCGTATCCAGGCTTTTCCGGTGGGCTTTATTTGCCTGCTGCTCCGCCGTGCAATGATGAAAAGTTGCCGCTGCAGCTGCATCAACAGCAGCAGCAACAGCTGCAGCAGATACAACAGCAACTGCAGCAGCAACAGCAGCAGCAGCAGCCACAGCAACAGTTGCTGCAGCCTCAACAATTCGCACAGCAGCAACAGTTGCTGCTGCCACAACAACAGTGGCAACAGTTGCAGCTGCAATGGCTCCAGCAACAGCAACTGCAACAGCAACAGCTAGCTCAGCAGCAACAGTGGCAACAGCTGCTGCAACAGCAATCGGGACAGCAGCAACAGTCAGGACAACAGCAACAATTGCTCCAGCAACAGCTTGCACAACAGCAACAGCTGCAGACACAGGAGCAACAGCTGCCCAGCATCTCGGATCAGTACCAGACCAGCTCCTTCCAAGCTCCCAACGCCCTCCTGCGTGACTACGATCCACAGTTTGGTGGCCAGGTGGATCTGTGCTGCATCAGCAGCTTCAATCAGGCCCACTTCTACTTGTCCAGTCCCGGCTTCCCGCGCACCGTGCTCAACGCCTTGCTGCCCAATCAGCAGCGCGATTGCGTCTTCTATCTGGAAAAGAGTTCTCAGAATGTTGCCGGCCTGCGCATTCAATTCAAATTCTTCGACTTTGGCCACTCTTCGGGCGGCGTTTATCCGGCTCAGGTTGTTCCCGGGGTCTCTACTTGTACCGGGGACTTTATCGAGATAGATGGTCAGCGCTACTGTGGCTGTCGTTCGGGTCATATACACAAATCCTTTTGGCCACAGGGTCGCAAGGCGCTGCGTTTGCGCATGGGCCAGTCGGGCGCTGCGCCCACAAATGGTTTTCTACTGGAGATCTTTCATGATCAGGACACGAGCAACTATGGGCTGATTGGCAATAATCCCTTAAGCCAGCCGGGTCTTGGTGGCTATCAGCCTCAGCTGGCTGCGATTCAGCCACAGCTCGGAGGACTTCAGTCACAGTTGGGAGGACTCACACAATTTGGTGGACTGCAGTCGCAGCTCGGCGGGCTTCAGTCACAGTTTGGCTTAGGTGGCTATCGGCCTAGTTTAGTCGGCTATCAGCCACAATCTCCGCTCTGGGCCAACTATCCTGGGCGACTGCCAAGCTACCCGCTCTCGCCGCTCTCCCCACTCCTGCCCACGCCCTATCGCCAATCTCGGCAATCCGGCTCCTGGGCCTACGCCCGTGGCCTGGATGCCCAGCAGCCCTCGCGCGTAGTGGAGACCAACTCCACGCGCAAGGAGTTTTACTACTTCGATGCCGATGAGGCTTTCGCTCGTGCCGCCCTCGACAACGATGAGAGCGAGGTGAAGGCGACGTCGACGACGACACCGAGGCCGATGAAGCTTAACACCAAGGCTTTCGAGCAGAGCAGCTGCACCTTCGACTACATGGAGGTGTTGCGCCTCTCTGTGGACACGCTCTGGCTGACCAAGCCCATCTGCTTCGCCCCCATACGCAGCTGGTTTAGCAATATTTTCGGCTAGCTTTCAATAGTAGTATAAATCCATAAAAAAAATATAATAAAATAAAGTAAAATTAAATAAACGTACTAGCTAAATTTTCTAAAAATACATTTTTAATTAGAATTACGCCTCATCTCCTATGTCTTCTATAACAAATCTGACCTTCATCCACATCGCCAACGCTCTATGAGACTGCGTGACCCACGAATATTATGACTAGGTGCTGACTTTCGTTTTCCATACAAATGCGTCGCATTGTTTACAACGTCGCATAAGTGCGGTGATTGTGGTTCCAGTTATTCCCCCCACTCACACCTTGAAGTGTGAACACGTTGACGCTCTGACATTGAAGTCTCGCAATCCGACTACGCCCCGCCCACCCACTGACCGGCCAGTTCTTGGTTATGTTTGCTCAAGCTCTGCTAGGTTATCTATTTGAAGAGCTGCTAGGGCTGACAACGGCGGAAATGGCCAAGGGAGTACCCAAGGCAGAGAGCTCATCTGGAAGATATGCTGTCAAAAACAAGTGCTACGAGAAATATGCCTTATATAACTATAATAACTATTTGGGTTACGAAAATTTCATGACTAAACTATTTATATATCCATATTTATATAGGCATGTGAACTAAAATCCAGAAATATATATGTGATATATCAGAAATATTTTTGAACTTGTTTTTAAAATATTCATATTTCCTTTATTAAGCCACCCTTTCCAGCACTCTATACAGGGTATCCGAACCACAATGTGCACATTTTGTGTGCTGGCTCTAAAGCGACGTTGAGCCCATGCATGACTCAGCAACGATACCTATTTTATTTTTTGTCACACATTCAATGACGTCAGCAACGTCGAGCTGGTAGAGAGATCACTGAATGACAACGGATGCGCGTAAGTAAGAAAAATGGAAAAATATGATTTATATTAAGTCACTTAACTAAGAATATTATCAATGGAAGTGTTTGTCAATATTTTTGTTCGTAATTGGATATGGATGGATGTACATATAGGCAAGAATAAATACAGAAATCATCAAGAACTTTCAAATACATTAGATATGGATTGTTTTTCCATGAATGCTAGAAAAATCTATATTATTAAATAGCTCGATTAAAGCGATATAAGAATATAAATTAAATAGAGACTTTCCATACATTTTGTATATCAAATAGCTTAAAAGATCTTAACGGAACTTTGATAGGAAATATATCAATATATTTATATATTATTTTTATTTTTATTTTTAAATTATATTTAAATTTTCCCATATCAGAACAAATAAAAATATCATTGCGCAGACGAATAATATAGTTGTATTTATTCATTCATATGTTTATTTTAGTAATTAAATCTCCCGACATATACACATATATTTATAGATATAAATATATTTAGTTATATAGGTACATAGATTCGTACATATAAGTCATTTTAGTTATTTGTTAAGTATACATATACATATATACACATCGATGTTGATTTATACATACATATATAGTCATAGTATATATATATATATATAAATATGATTTTGTTCGTTAGTTTTCTGTATTTGTATCATTTAGGTTAAGGTTTCTAGGTTAAGTTAACATAGATAATACTTCGACTACCAACACCGATAGACGCGGTCTCTAATGATATGACAGGCTGGAACATTAACTCGGATTAACTTGATATTAAAAACTTTAGATATATACATATATATGGTTAACATATATATATGTATATATATTTGTTAGTATATACAACACATTGAGAGAGACATTAAAAAAGTTAAACGTTGTTTAACACTCGTTTTGCAATGCAGTGTTGGCTAATTGGCTAGCTTAGTGTGCGAAAAGGTTGTTTGCATAAATATATACCTAATAGCTGGTTAGTTTAATTAGTTTTGTTAGTTAGTTAAGTTAACTAATTGTTAGTGCTTGTTGTTCTCCAGTTTTCGCGCTTGACTTTGTCAGCAATATACAAATTGATGCTTGGTATACATATGTCTGTATGTGTGGGTGTGTGTGTCTGCAGATGTATTTGTGTGTGTGTGTGTGTGTGTGTGTGTGTCTATCCTTCTTTCTCTGTCTGCTATTCTCAGATCTAGCCCAGGAACCGTATATTGGTAAATACCGCCTTGGCGGGTCGCTTGCGATTGCAAAAATTCACGGTCTTGCTGTGATTGCCCTTACGATTCTCATGCAAGTTGACCAGAAGCTTGAATATATCCTCCTTGCTAGGTGTACAGGCGTAACGCAGTTCCGGTTCATAGTTGCTGTTGATAGAATTCATGTAAGAACTGAATAACAGTAATATTTTGCAATTAGAAATTATCGTTTCACATCACGCCCACATTTTTGAGCATATATATATTCTTTACATATAATATATATAAATATATATATATATGTATATATTTGTGGTATTCGGTAATCGGAGGGTTCATTGTATGTACAGCCTAGAGAGACTCTTGGAAATGCAGTTTAGTACAGTTTTCTAAATTTAATATGTGTACATATATCTAATAGGGTTTGGCATTTGTTGCTGAAATTTTTTCGATTTGAAAATGTTCAGAAATTTTTCGAAAATACCTTTAAAGAGTTTTTTTTTCGATATAATTTATATTCTTATGCTCTAAGTCTTAGCAAAACAAAATATCAGGAGCTTGGAATGATTTTCATCAAGTATGAAAAAATAAATTTTAGTAAAAGTTATTCGTTAACTTTTCCAAAATTAAAAAAATATATATATTTTTTATATATATATTTTGATATTTAATGAAATTATTTCTTAGTAAGTTTTTTCCCTTAAAAAGTTTATTTTAATTATTTAATTTCTAAGCTGAAATTCTCGAAACATATTCTAAAAAATAATGAGTTCATTATAAAAGATTTCTTCATTGTTTATTCTTTTTTTCCGCAACTTAAAAATTTCCTAAATAAATTCTTTTCTTGAAACTGTTTTAATTTAATTTAATATTTTTTGCTTTGAAATATTTGCTAATTCGGCTGAGATTCGAAAAGATTTTTCAGTAACAAAATCCAATATATACATGTATTTTTGTAAGTCTAATAACAACATAAACTACAAATCAAAAATGGTGCTAGGGCGTTTGCTGGGTATTCTTTTTAATAAAAAGTGGAGTTTGAGTGTGTGTGTGAGTGTGTGTGCTGCTTGTGTGTCTACCAGGGCTGACAAAAGCTTACCCGCGATTGCGATTGTGTCGCTTCCAGGGATAGCGACGATAATAACGGGAACGTTTTGGCTTATTCTGGCCGACAATCAGGCTCTGTATGCCATTATCCAGTTCCGGGTAGTCCTCGGCTGCAATTGCTGTCGGCTCCTCCTCTTCCACATAGACCAATGGCAGCGTATCCAATGTCGGGTCCTAAGTGGGCGTAACGCATTTGTTATCGAAGTAAATACCAGCACATGTCAGGACCCCGCCTGCCCCCTTCCCGCTCACCTCTAACATTTTCATAAGCAAAGCGGATTTGTCGACTAGTTCCTGCTCAGCGCGTAAATCCTGCTCTATCTTCTTAAGCATGTCAAATTTACTGGCCAGCTCCAGGGCTGTGCCGTACTCTGGCTGACGTTCCGTTTCACGTTCCCGTTCGCGCTCCTGCTCCCGTTCCGATTCCAACTCCATGTTCAGCGCACGCAGCAGCTCTGTCATGGGCAAAAGGAAAAGAAGAAGAAGATGAGGAAGAAAAGAAAAACTCGTTCTATTTGGCATTTGAATATTTTGCACAACTTAATCCGGCCACAAGGAGCGGAACGACTCTCAAGTTTCCGCCAAACTGACATTTGAAGTTTTGTTTGTCTCGCTGTTGCCCAGCCTCAACCATATTGCCAAGGCTTAAAAATACTCATACATATTAAATACACAGCGAGTGGCGGAAATTGACCGGCGGCTATAGTCACGACAATGGCACAGACAGCCGTCATTCAGTCAGTCACTCACTCAGTCAGTCAGTCACTCAGTCAGTCAGTCAGTCAGTCTTTCAATTTTCGCTCATTCATTGTGTTTGATGCTTGGCCGTTTATCATGCGGTTGCCTTTTGTCTCATTTGGCAGCTTCCTGCCACAGCAACCAATGCGACTTAAATGCCACGCCTTAAAGGGCTCGCATTACAGCTTACAAACCATTTGGCATTAAACCTTGGCCGATTTCAAATAACTGTTCACCAAAGAGTCAGCTATATTTGGCTGTGGATTTGTGTGCTGTTTGACTGATTGAATCTGTTTGAGAGGCATTTCATGGTGAAAGTATTTTGGGAATTCATTCGAATTTTTAATGTAATAAAATAAATGGATTTATGCATATTTAATTTATTGTTTTAATGGCGTGATTGACAGACTGGTTGATTCGCTAATTGATTGATTGATGACAGGTAAATTTTGCATAGATTAAATGTAGCAACTGAAGAATATATGAACAAATATTAAAATGAGCATGCGTATTATATAATATTTTTTATTATTATATAAATGACTAATTGACTAACAAAATGATGGATAAGAATTATGATAAAATTGTTCTGTTAGTAATTGAAAATAATTAAACGGTGTGTTAAAATAACGTAATTAGCACCTAATATAATTAACAATTTCAAAAAAATTACAAAAAAAAAAAAAATGAGTGGAGAAATTTTGAGGTTAAACAAATATTTATGCTTCATATTTAAATTAATTTTTATTATTATTATATATATATTTTTTTTAAATATATTTTGAACTATATTGGAAATTAATGTTTTCTTTTTTTTTTCATAATAATATATTATTTATTTATAATTACAATTTTTATTTATTCTAGTTTCATTTTTAACGTGCTCGATTTTAAATGTACACTCCTACCAAATGGATAAAAAAAATTAATTTTCTATTCTCTATGCTCAAACAAAACATCCAAGTCGAACCCAACTCAAATCGATTGGAAACTGAATCGAATTATGCATTCTAAACAAATGATAATCAATTGTGCTCATATTTTAATTTTATGGCTTAAACGTGTGTGTGCGTGTGTGTGTCTGTCTGTCTGTGTCTGTATCTGTGTGTGTGTGTGTGTGAGTGTG